GCGGAGCTATGGAGTGAGCAATACAGTAACTTGCTGATGTTAAATTTGTAGAGCATCTTACAAATTTAATGATGGAATTTGATTGACTTTTATAGAGGTGTAGTTGCCTAGAAATATATTCCTTCCTTTCATTGATACTTTTTTTCAAGAGCTGACAACGATTAGTTTCAAAATGTCTCTTTACATTCCACATTCTGCTTACTAAGCGTTTCATTACAGAATATGCACAATGAACTGTTGTTTCTGTCGACAGTCCTGTACATCTCAGTATATGTCTTGAAAGGGTCGGCTTCTGCTACTTCCACTTCCCTTATCATTCAATCTTGAGTTTTTATTTTTTTGATTCTCCATCACAAGGCTGCAAAAATAAATAAATATAAATCATGGCGTTTTTTTATAAAAGGTTGATAGGTTTCTTACCTTTTAACTTTTTGCAGTGTTGTTGCACTGACTCCTGGTGCAAAACAATTCAAAGATAGTATGTATAACCAACAAATATACGGTGCTGTAATCAATTATCCGACACGCAGAATGTCTCGCCGAGCACTGTTGCACTGTATATCTTTTTCTTCTAATCCTCTCCACTCCTGTCTCCTAACGAACATGGCGATCAAGTGCGTCCATTTGACAGCACTTCAAATAATAGGTTTGCTGCTTGGTCCAAAATTTGTTTCCTAAGGTGAGTATAGAAATTTATCTGGTATAACTTCTCTTTAAATTCTCATTCCCTTTCAACTCTTTAATTCACTCTCAGTAGATAATTAAACACATACAAAGGATTTCTGCTTATACACATTATTCCTACTTATCATGTACACTTAATATTTTCTGTCCTTTCACCACCATCCTTGTGCCAGTCTTATTTATAAGCTAAAAAGCTGACAAGTGCAAAAATATTACTAATAATGTATTTGAATCAAGGCAAAGTGATGTATTTTAAATAATTGTAATAATATATAATTTACATACCATGAAACACACTAATTTAAAACATGTAATTCAACAATTTTGATTATATTTGTTCAAAAATCATCACAACCAAATTTGGAATGTTTTTATTACCCCAAAAGGAACTCCATATCCATTTAGTAGTCACTCTTGATCTCTTCCACTATTACACTCACCTTCCTCTTCAATATCCATAAACCATAGGCAATCATTACTATTTTCTGGCTCTGTAGATTTTCATATTCTGGAGATTTTGTATAAATAAAATTATAAATAACGCAGTCTTTGTGACTAGTTTTACTTTGAATGTTTTCAAGGTTTCTCTATGATACAGCAATGAGTACTTCATTCAATTTAATGATTGAATAGCATCCCATTGTATAAATACAGTTGTTGATTTTTTCATCCATTTCTTCTTGATTCTTGCATAAGCTGTTTATTTTTTCCTCCATCCGGTTTATGCACTCTAGGACCCTTATTCTGAATTCTTTTTCTGACATGCTGCATGCCTCTGTTTCAATTAGCTGCTTTTCTGACGATTCCTCCTTTTCTTTACTTTGGGGTTTCCTTTGTCTACCCATGTTTGATCTCACCTACAGATCTAGATGTTGAGTTGTTTAAGGGCTGCTCCTTGGATGGCAGTGTCTCCTCAGGCTGCGGTTGCTCCTCGGGCGGTTGTGGTAGCAGCTGCTCCTCAGGTGGCAGCAACTCCTTT